TCTTCTTTCCTGTTTATGGTTCTGTCTATGGTTTTAAGTACGGGAAGGCTCTCTAGCGTCAGTATTTTGTAGTGGTTTTTTCCCTGTCTAGTATTGTTAAGTTATCTAGTTCTGCTCTCTGTTTGGTCTCTATTATGTGTTATGCTAATGCAGTTGTTTCCTTATCTGTCTTCATATCATTCTGATGTCATTCTTTAGCATTTTTCTCACTTAAGCCTTCTTATTAACAATAAAGAAGGATCTCCTGCTGAAACAAGACCTTAAATTTCCCACAAAAATTTTTCTAAGAAAATGATATAAAATAATAGTAGGTATAAACAAGAAATAAATAAATTTAAATTAAATTAAATTAAATTAAACTAAAAAAATAACTTCTAAAAATAATAACTACGAATGGCTTTTAAAGTCGGTTCTGTTTTTTAGGATTTAAGCTTTTATTTCGATCGTATTTTTTGTATATTCCTATACGTATTTCGGTAAATTTGTTTTTGTCATCATTAGGTGAGTTCCTAAAAGCTGTATGCTTATTTTAATATATAATATATTTAATATATAATATATTTAATATATAATATATTTAATATATAATATATTTTTAACATAATTAGACGTCTTATCCGTAGGATATCGTATATATATATATAAATACATTACATTAAACAGGGTTTGAATACTGAGACTTGTAGACAATTTGACTTGTTCGATCAATTAAGCTAAAAGATATTCCGAAAGACCAATGATAATAACACACCTGTATGGTATCCGAAACACCTGTATGGACAACCAAAGAATTCACTTGATTAAAAATTAAATTTTTCGAGTTAATATAATTTACTCATTATTACTCCCTTATCTATACGAAGGCATATATCTTGTCATAGGACATAACATTCTCATGATATTATATTTAATTAAATATTATATATTTATTTCTTTATGTAACCGTGTTAAAAACAATATCCTAACTCAAGATCATGTTTACTTCAGCCTTTAGACCAAAATCTATTTAGGAGTTTGGGTTGATTTGATGGATGGGTTTAAAAGTAAAGATATAAGCACGTAAGGGGAGATTTGACTCCTTATTTAATGGAAGTAAGAGTAGCGGTATAACAGGCGTGCGAGGTATATAGTTTATTAGCAAAATTTGCAAATAGTTGGTGAAATTTTCTTCATTAAATTTTGATGTGTGATTAGCCTTATAATGTTTCTAAGGTCTTGCTGCAAAAGACTTGAGTGATTGCAATTCTTTAGATAGTTGGAGAGAATTTGTAATAACAGAGAAATTATGATTGCTATAACTGATAGAATTATTATTCCAAATCATATCAAAATTATTATTGATTTGCTTGATATATTTTAATATGCCGTGAGGATTAGAGTTTGATATATGTGGGGATGTGGAGCTATTGCAGTTTGATGTAAATATTCATTACTACACTTTATGAAAGAGTGACCAAAAATCAACATTAGTTTGATTTTAATACCAAATTAAATCATTTTATTATATACAATTCAACAATAGTCAAGTTCTTGCTTTGGCAGAACAAACACTAAATTAAATATCCATATACAATACATATATCACTCACTTTGTTAATATTAGAATATTTTTATATTAGGTATTAAAAAGCTATTATAATGTACAATACAATAAGATCATTTTCTATATATAAACTGCAATACTTCAAATAGTGTTTATGTTACAATACTCAAAACAATCATACATACGGATATATGTATACCAATTCATTAAAAAAACTTTAAATGAGCAGATAATTTATTAAATAAAATGCATGTGAGAGATAAAAATTATTTAAATAAACAGTTTTTTGTGTGCAAATTTAAATGTTTAACGCCGCCATATAATAAAAATTAATTTAAAATGCAAAATAGCAGACAAGGTGAACAAGGTACACGGTTTGGGGTAAAAGTAACCAAATTGGAGTTTATTTTTATTATTAATATTTTTTTTTTTGTTTCATTATTATTTACATTTACACATGCGTACAACTTATTTTATTTATTGGTAATTCACGATTGTCTACGTCGTAAAATATACAATTAAGAAAAAAAGATATTTAAATAAAATCAATATTATATACGATTTTTCATACGTCCCCATACATTTGTGCAATTTTATATATTAACTTAATGTGTTATATTTTAATTATATTTTTTTTTTCATTTTATAGCTTTTTAAATTAGCTTTTAAAAATAAATAATCAGAGTTTGTATAAATTAAGTAAAAAAATTTAACTGATCTTTAGGTTAGGTTAAGTTAGGTTAAAGTGTATATGGTTAAGAAGTTAATATATGAACACTTACATCTTTAGTGACATGACATAAAATCTTAATAAGATTTCTAAATATAAATGCAATTCATTTAATAACAATAAATGCTACTTTTACTGGCGCTTGGAAGAGGTTAAAGTTCGACAATGACTTATAAGACCTAGTTTAGTAAGTTACTTATTAAACGGCTTAATATCACCAGCTGTACTGAAGTATTGCTATAAGGTGTTTTTTTGAGAGATTTGATTCTTATGTCAAGTTTGAATCACTATTGGAGTCTAGTGTTAATAAATTTTTCAACAGAAAGCGGATATATGTTCTATATACTTTTTCACTTCAATATACGTTATCAATACCCGATCTCACTTCTACTTCAATAAGCACTTCGTCAATAAACACAATTGGGACAAATCATTGATTTAAATTACTGATTTATCGATTCCTAACAGGCATTAAAAAAAATATACTGCTTCCCCAGCTGATGTGTCTACTTGTTGAGATGGTAATGTAGGTTAGGACGAGGTTAGTCAGGTGCACTGCTAACAATGCCATACTGTTCAAATGTTAGTCCTAAAAAATTTTAGAAAGAAAATATCTTTAGATGTCACTGAAATTATTTTAATATTTGTTTAACTTTTTTTCGCTTTTAAATTAATATATCTTGAGTTCTATGTGCTAAGCACTACATCTTTAAAGTCAAAGATAATGTAAATTTCATCGTTAATGGCGTTGGATAATAATAATTTTAATAATAAGAATAATAAAAAATTAATGATTACATATACGGAGAAAACCTAAACAAAGCCGGAACAAACCTATTCAAAACTGGAAAAAAGCAAGTTTTATCATCAACGGCACGATATTGGGACACGATCTGAAAGATTTTTTTAAGACAATCTACCAATCAACAATTAATATTTAATCAATTAGTGTAATCTTCGACCGTTGACCACTTCGTTAGTGTAATCCGTTGTCTGACCACTAAGATCATAGTCTCTGATACTACTAGACTACTTTATATGAAAGTAGTTCAAATCAATAGTCTATGGGAACAACCTTGAGTGCAGTATTTGTGACATATGGTAATTACTAATACGCTTAATTGGCGAACATATATACGAAACCATATTTCATCAATAGTACCATAAACCTAGTTACCGAATAATAAAATAGTTATCTCACTTAATTAATTTGTAAATTTGTTTATTTTATTTTAATTTGTGAAATGAACAATGAAAATATGTTTTAATTTTATTAAACTTGATTATGACTCGATCTGTCACCAACAGTAATTTCTTGTAATTTGCCACAAATTATACTAGAATGTGCAGAATTGATCGTGATAATGTCATAATACTAATTATCATTGGTTATGATTAATATAAAACGTTTATGACTCATTTTAAATTGTGCAGATCAGAAAAAAGAATAAAAACAGATCAGAGAACTGCATTATATAAAAGCAAACTGCAAGCTGCAGTTTAACTGGTAGTTAAATGCATGGAAATGTTAAAATTAATAATACATAATCTTAGATCGCATATGGAAAAATTTTGCTTATATATACATATATATTTATATACTGAATTTAATTGGATAAGTTGCACTTTTTACATATGTCATTTAAAATATTGAACAAAGAACTCTAAAGGTGTGTTCTTCCTTTTTCTATGTGAACTATGCTTTTAGAACGATCATTACCTTGCGTGAAATTCTAAATTATTCACCAGAAATATTAATGGAAGGAATATACTCGTATAATAGGGCACCTATTATTCGAATTCCAAAGAAAGAGCAAAGCGGATTAATCGTTTGCATAATGGCAGTTTGAGTTCTTGAATTATTAGAGGTTGACGAAAAAAAATTTAAATTAAATGTTTTACTTAATTTTGTTTTATTTTACACTTTTAAAATAAAAATAAGAAATTTCGAAGTATAGAAATTCTACTGTACCTCATATGGTCCAACTTAGTTCTAAATTTCAACAGAAATTTTTTTTTATTTCATGTATCGATTTTTTAGAACTATAAGATTGGCATTTCTTTATTTTATTTTTTTAGTGCTGTTATTTAGCACTTGACTTTTTCTTTATTCTTTGTTATTAGTGCTATTTGTCGAAGTTTTTGCAATCTTTGCACCTGCTGTATGTATGAAAAAACCGAACTATTGGACTTATGCACTAAGAAACTTAAAGACATGAAGATAACAAAATATATAATAGACATATGGTTATATCCATAATTAACCAATTAATAGATATTTTCATGAATTATGAGTAAGCTTTATTACGACATATTTGTAAAAATAAAGATAATTAGTTGTTTTTAAAGACACAGATTTAGAATTCTTCTGTTTTTTTTTTGGTATGTATTACTTATCTCTTTCTGATAATTTTAAACAACTTATATTGAATATGAATCATAAATGGCAACCATTTTATTCTTTCTATATTTCTGTTTTACTTGTTATCTTATAAACATAATTAATGGTATGTGTCCAACCACTTCAACTTTGAAAATTCGACATCACCATTATTTTATATATGTAAGTAATATAGAAATATAAGAATCAATATTAATTTCTTTATTA